GTTGTAGTCACGACGATATAGAAAAGACTGACATTGATGAAAACGTGGAATCATTTTGTTTTACAACTGAAGTGTCTAAACAAGTGGAAATACATGATGTAGCGAAACAAACAAAAAAGAATCTAACGTGTTTATACAAACAGAAGAAAAATGTTTCAAATACGATTCTAAAAAAGAAAAATCAAAAAGAATGTTGAAAGTAAATCAAGAAAAAAAAGCCAAGAAAAAACAACAATAAAAAAGTTAACACTGTTAAAACAAGAAAAATGACAAAAAATGAAAAATTTATTAAATTGCAAAAATCACTAAAAAAAACAGAAGATCGATACTTAAGTGAATTTTTTGTTCTAATTGTAAAAATGATTCTCGTTTATTATAATGACCTGTTTTATTAAAATATGTAACTAAAAAACAAATTTAAAATTATTACAAATTTGATGTAATGAATTAAAAAAATGTTATTTTGAATTATTATTAAAAAACAAAAAAATTAATTATCAATTGTAATTAATGTTTTATTTCTATAAAAAGATTTTTTGAGTGACTTATCCTGAGTGGAAAATCTGTTTACCTTTCGAGATGATTATAAAATGATTGAAACTCTTGGAATGAGATATCTGTAGTAATTTGATTATAAATATGATGAAGAATTTGATGTGAAAATGAATTAAATATCCATACTGTAGATAATATTGATTTTATCTGTGCTGGTATACCTCGCCATATTTGAATAGCTATAAAGAATAAACAATTTGTATGTCTTGTTTTATATAATGATTTAGATAATAAAGAAGATTCATTTTTAAACAATCAACAGCATCATCTAAAACGATAATTGTTTCTATGGGTTTATCACTAAATTTTTTAAATATAAACATTCTAGTATAGAATCATCTTTAGGTATTTCTTTTTTAATCATTTTATTATAAGTTTCTTTAATTTCAAGGAATTGAAGATAAGCTTTTTCAAATTGTTCATATGTAAATTTAAGTATTGGAATATTAATTAAAGGCTCATAATGTAATAAAGTTTGATCAGAACCAGTATTATTTACCCAAATAATAAGATGGAACTGACTTTGACCGAACGCAGTAGAAACTTTATCAATTTTAATAAGTTCTTTACAAATTGAAGTTGTTTTAGAACAACCCGGCTTACCTATAAGTAGATTTATAGATCTATGCTTTACAAAAACTTCTGGATGAATAGTATTCATTGTTGTCTCAGACTTATCGGGAGCATATTGATTAATTAATGTGTTGACAAATTCATTTAGACCAACTGACATTTTTTACTAAAAATATATTCATAATTATCATTATTTATTCCATATCTCCATATCAAGATATCTAATAATTTGATTATCTTTATTTTCAAATTCTTCATAATTTTTAGTTCTAATAATCATAAAAGGTTTTAAATTTGGGTTAAAATTATTCTCATATTTATTTTTAATAGATTTATTTTCGGAATTAATATATTTACTAATTTTAGTATTAGCAAAATATTGTTTACCATCTTCAGAAAGAATAATATGAGTTTTACCAAATTTAGTTTCTATTGATTTAAACCCAATTATTTTTTAAACGGAATTGTCTTCTAAGTTTTGAATATTGTTATATTTAGTTTCTTGAGTAGTCATCTTTTTAGGGAAAAAAATTTAATTGTTTAAATTAAATTATTTATTGAACAATTTAGAGTATCATTATAATTTAATAATTTGACAATACTTCTATCTGAAAATTCTGGTAAAAATTGTTGTGCTACTAATCTTCTAAGAGAATATTTTTTAACACGTTTGTCTCCAGATAAATTAACATATGCATCGATTCTTAAAGACGGTCTTATCATAATTTTAATTAACTTATTTTTCTTATTATTTTTAATTTGTCCTAATCTATTTATTAAATATTTGGGTTTAATTTTTAAAATTTCAAAAGTATCTAAAGAAGTCATTTTAGGGAAAATAAAAAATAAATAATAAAAAAATAATTTGAAAATAAACTCGGTACTATATTTCCGAATTTTGGGAAAATTTGAAAACGCGTCCCTCGCGATTTAATTAAAGTATTATAAAATATAGATAAAATGAGTCCCCCTAAATCTGCATAATTTATATACTACTTTTTTTTAAATTTTATCAATAAAATATTATATTTTTGATTTATTTGCTTAGATTTTTGGGAAATTTTGTAAATTTGTTCATTTTTTGTTGTTTTATTATATTATTGTTTTTGTGAATTGAATAATGTGCTTGGAATTGCTAATGTTTTCAATTTTATAATCAAAAAATTAATAATGTTTAATTTAATTTTTTGGGAAAAATAATCGAAATAATTATGTTAAATTTGATTGTAATTTTCGGGATAAATTATGGTTATTTTTGTCTCCTTCAAAAATCAATTATTTTTTAATCAAATCAATCAAAAATCCAATTTTTAATCATTTTTACTCCAAAATCCTTAACTTGGGACTTAAGTGCATTTTTTGGACACTCTGATGTAGGTCCCTGGTTTGTATGTTTATTTTTTGTCAAAAGAATTTTTTAACATTAATCATTTAATTATTGTTTAAAAATGCAATAACAATAAACAAATTGAATAAGATTTTTAATTTAAATATGGAATGTGAAATAAGCAGCAAAAAATACTTAATTTCCAATGACTTATTCAAGATATAAAGCAAAACATAACTATTTGAAATATTGTTTAAGTGTACGTCACTCACCAATTTAAATTATGTTTTTTAATATTGCTCAACTGAAAACAAAACATCAATTTATTGAAATGAAAATAAAATTCAAATGGTATTTTTTATTAATTTTTATATAGTTAATTATTTATTAATATAATTTAATTTTAATAATAATTTGAAGATAAAAAAAATATAGAATATATTTATAATTTCACAAACCATACAAAAAAACAGAACAAAAGCAAATATATTTTTCGTTTTATTACGTATTGGTGTAGTAACATAACTCTGTTTTTGAAGTTTTTACTTTCAAAAACTTTAACACGTTGGAGCTTCCTTTTTTCAGTTTTATATGAAAAAAATAAAAAAGTTGATGTTTTATTTTTTTGCCGAGTGTAAACAAATTAAAAAAAGAGGAAAAACCTGTTTGAGCTCCTTTGTGGATTTTTATCCTTGTGATTTTAGTAAAATTAATATTCAAATGATAACAAAAATCACTAAGATATTCGAATTATTGTTATTTTGTACCATCTCCAAGTTTTTTATAATTTGCAGCAATTTGCTAAGACGAAGAACGTTTGTAATAAGAGTTTTTGTCGCCACTCGAAGTGACATTTCATCAACATGATTCACATTGATTCATAGAGTGTTTATATTATAAATATACATGCTTTCAATTGTAGATATTAGTACGTCTGTTTTTTCCAACAAGATTAACTTTGACAATCGTCCCTAAAATTAAGTATCTTTATCATAATATTCAAAGTTAAACATATTACTCAATTTGATATTGATATAAAAATTTTTAAAAACGAACTGTTTTTGTTTAAACCTTTAGTTTTCATAATCAAAAGCGTCTTTTTCATCAAGGACTCGATCGGATATTATCGTTTTGAATTTTGGAGATTATTCAGTGAAATTGTTATTTAAAAAATTTTGTTTTGGTAGTTCGGCAAAATAGTATGTTGTGTTTCAATGAAAAAAAAATTCTGGGAAAAAAACACAAAATAAACTCCAACGTGTTAATGGTTGAAATTTTATGTTTCTACAAAAAGTTTACTTTTTAAATCATTAATTATGAAACATTTCAAAATATTATACTAAATAAAATCCAACATAACAAATAACATTAAAAAAAATCAAGACCATTATATTTAAAACCATTATTAAATGTCGATTTCAGAGAGATGAACAAAACGATGCAAGCATTAATCAAAGCAAATGTCTGTGTTGACCGAAACTACCAATGGCCACGGTGGTGCAGTTGTCAGAAGCAACGGGAAGATAATGAGTCAAAGTGGAATCAATTTGACTGACAACAAAGCTGTCCTGGTCCCAGACAAAATGTTCAGCAACGATTTCGCGTATTTCCAGATGAATGGTGTGACCATTGGAAATCACGAGTATGCAGTTACCAATTCCGACAAAGACGAAGGTGTAGTAACAGCAATGAAAGGCAACAGTGGAGTTAAAGGAAAGAATACTATAATCTTTGGTTACTATAACAATACTGCAAAGCCAGTTACTGCTGGTCAAAACCACATTGCCACTATGTACTGAAAACTTTAATTAACGATGGAAATTTTCAACAAGAAAACAAAGTTGTGATGGCCTCAATATTCTACAAAGAATTACAGAAAATCGAGAATGGCAAAATGAGTTGGGGTGACATTTCAAAGTTGCTTACTTTGCCATCGTGTGGGATAGTGGATTTATTTTAAAGTCAGACGGTGCAATTTTAGTCAAGAAGGCATTTACATTTCAGTTAAAGAAGCGAAGACAATAGCAGACACCTTCATTGAACAAAAGGTTTCTTCAATGTGTTCCAATGGTGTGATGATTGATGGCAAGAAGTTCTCCATAATCAATTCCGATTCCGTTATCTCTCACAGGATGGTAACAGCTGTGAGAGATAACGAGTGTATCAAAATTATAAATAGAAACAACGTTGTTGTCATTGGGTATTACAACAACTTAATTGTTTAAAAACTTTATTGTCAATTTAATACATTTACAAAACAAAGTTTGGATAATTATTTATAATTAAAATAACTATTTGCAACAATTCAATAATTATTAAAATGAAATACATTTGGACAATTTTCACTTTTTTATCGTATAAATCAACACTATAATTTACATATATTTATAACAAAAATTATTATCACTTTAAATATTATAAACAAACAAAGTAAACAATCAGTAATAATCAAACAATTCTTTTTTAAAACATCCATCATTTTATGTTCGTTAACTTATCTGGATATTTTTTAATCCTGGTATAATTAGAGATCTCACACTTTTGAGCAATATATTGTTTTGTATTGTATTAATGCCATTTTAATTCAAGTCATCAATAAACAAGATTGTTCAGTTATTTTTTGGTGTTTTTTAAACAACTTAGTAAGACTTTTCGATAATAAAAATATCACAATGGAAGTGATAACATTTACACACATCTGTATAATTAATTATACATCTGCATAATTTGATGTATAGTCTTAAATTAATTTTAGTGTAAATCAATAATTGATTTGAAAATTGGTTGTTTTCACTGCCCAATTTTATCTGTAAAATCGTAGGAAAACTCTTTTACAATAAAAGAGTCGTAATGAATATATATTCGTTGAAAGTAATAAGCATTTGAATGTTTAATCTTTGTGTTTGTTAATATAGTTGCGTTTGTGTGTCATTTAGCAATGTTTATATATTGTTTGATAAATTAATGATGATTACCACGTGTATATTTAAAGGATGAGTATTGACTATTTTGAAATGAATAGTCATAGTGGTTGTGTTGTTTATGGAATATTTGAATCGTGTATATTTATATATCATGTAAATTAAATTTTTATGATTTGCCGACTCGTCATGAGCCGGCCTATCATTGGGCCCTTGTATTCTACGTGGTTAATATTTTTATGTTTATCAAGAAAAAAACAACCTGTGTTATTTATAAAACATAGCTTTATTGACCAAATGGGAAGGTGTTTCATTGATTTTTAATAATCTTGTGATGAATAGAATATTTTCGTATAATTTTTGTGACTTGTTTATTGGTGACGCCTTCTAAAATGTGTGTTGTGAATTGAGTATGTTTTTTGTCAATTTTTAAATATTTTATGCGAACAACACATCAATCAAATAATTCTTGCCATGTGGAAAGATTTTTTTCATATTTTTTCTTGTATTTAAGTTACATTGTTGATATCGCTGTAAGTATGTATGTAAACTAAGTTTTGTTTAATTGTCACTTTTACATTAATTTGCATAAACAAATTATTTGCATTTTTTGAAATTTCAGCTTTCATTGTGAATATAATCCATTTGGTCGTATACAAGATTGTAACTATTTACTACGATATGATTAACATAAATTGTCATATTTAATTGATATTTTAGATTATTAAATTCTTGCTTTAAATATTTTTGTTTTTTATCTATTTTTAATTATCGTATTTTTTATCGAAGAATGGCACGATTAATCATTTAATTTATTTTAAAACACAAGATTTTTGGATCTTTATATGCAATTTGTTGACTTTTTGTAATTAAATTGAATATTCAATGCATTTTACTTGTATTATTCTGTATTTTTTAAAAAAACACAACAAAGTTTTATTAAAAATTGTATTGTCTGTTTTTATCAAAAATAATAAAAACAATGTCATTGTGTCTCTTTTTATTTTTATTTAATCGTTCTTTTGATATTTTTATTCAAATTTAAAAATATTGGTGTTGTTCGAAGTTTAAATAAAAGGTATTGATTTTTTAATTTTGCTTTATTTGTTATAATTGAAATTCTTGATGTGGTAGTTTTAATTTGGTGGTATATTTTAGTCATATTAAATATATTTACATATCAATTAT